CTATTTTGAAATAAGTTCTTAAACATATTTTTACTGAAACATAGAACAGTAAATAAAGTAAAACAAACAATTCTCTTCTAGTTACAACCTTTGTACTTGGTTGCTGCTTGATATAGGTTGCTAAGCCTTTAAAAACTTTCCATATGGAGGATATGAAACAAAATATTTTTTAGGTTTTTTATCTACATTTGAATAACTAAAAAATCATAAATTACTACATTAATACAACAGAATTCCACTATAATTTATAAAACTTAGTAACTTAGACGTTTTTTAGTCTAAAAAAATATAAAATTTTGAGCAGTCTAAAGACACACCCTACCTCACTGAAATATTGGTTCAAAAGAAAGAAATGGCACCAAGTCCAATAAAAATGCTAAGAAAGCCACTAGGGAGACATTCTGAGCTTCCGATCAGTTATTCATGTGAAATATAGAAGTGTATATTAGAAAAAGAGGTGGGCAGAGTGACACTGTGTTTAATAAGAGGCTCTTATTTTATACTCTAGCTTATCAATATCAGTAATTTGAGTGTCTAATTCATTCAAAACTATAGCTCTGAGGAAGCTCCCACCTACTTTCACGTGAAATGCACTACTGCATGATGATGCAACACAAATCCATGAGCAATAACTCCCCCTATGAACTTGTGCTCATGAAACTTCATTATTTGATGGGTGGGAATGTTTGTGGAGGTATCTATTGGAAATACATTTTCAGGTAAGGAAAATGTTAACTTCCGAGATGATACCTCACATCTGTACACAGATATAACTAGAATCCCATGTTGAATTGGAGGAGGGACTGGTGTAAAGTTTATCTAGCTAAGCATCCTTCAGATGAACCCGAGTTAGTCACCCATGTGCTTGACCAGAGGGTGGCCCTTAAAAGGACCTTTTCGCGTTATCTGACAGTATTACATCGACGACGCACATCAACACTAATGGCGTAATTCAGCAGATGTCGGACTTGGTCGTTGACAGCAGTGGGATGCCGTTGTCACCAAATTAGGCTGGCCCAGCGTGATTCGTCGTCTCTGTCCATCAGACTTCGCCGCATGACAAGTGCTTTGTCAATACTAGCGGCCGTGACACTCTGCTGCAGTGAAACCGAGAGTATCGAGGAGAGGAAGAGAGGAGACGGATACTTGCATCGACTTATATTAGATTTGAAGATGCTTCATCTGCGAGAACGGGGTAGAATTGACGTTATTCAAGGTCACATCGCCGCGTGCGTTATCCAGTCATGCAGCGCCGCACGCTACTGATGAGATGCTTGGTTTCACCACCAAGGCATGTCACAGATTATTTGTCATCGTGAAGACAACGTGAAGTAAGTAGGCCTATATATTCAATTTTTACAATTTTGTTATTGTATGCCCACAAATGGATTTAAAGAAAGAAAACCTGGCAAAAATTGATACAAAACAAAAAACCCGACTATTTGGTTCAGATTACGTAGCTTTTGGGTTTACTGCTACTGGTGATAAGAATTGCCCATCACCATTATGCTTAGTTTGTGGTGATACGTTATCGAATAGTTCAATGCTGCCATCAAAGTTGAAGCGTCATCTGATATCGAAACATCCTAATTTGGCTGATAAAACTAAGAAATACTTTCAAAGGCTGAAAGAATCAACTTCAAAACAAGCTGCTGCATTTGTAAGGAAGGTCAACATTAGCGACAAAGCGAACCAAGCAAGCTTTGCTGTGGCAGAGATCGTAGCCAAGCAGATGAAGCCACATACAATTGCTGAATCGTTGATATTACCAGCATGCGTTGCAATTGCGAAGATATTTTTTGGAGATGCTGCTGCTGCTGAAATTAAAAATATACCTCTGTCTGACAATACAATAGGCAGGCAGATTACAGACAGTCGAATTTTTTGCTGTTCAAGTGGATGAAAGCACTGATTCAAGTGGAAAATCACAGCTACTTGCTTTTATTCGGTTTATTGAAAATGATGCCATTGTTTGCAACATAAAAATTCTTCTATATATCTTGTCCTTTTGTTGTTTCTGGCAATTCCCCGATGTTATTGGAATTATGACCAAAAATATCGTTAACATTGAGGGTACCATACTGATGAAACAGTGTTTTCCAATTTTTTCTAAGTAAGGAAAGTATATTTAATTAGCAATGCTCATTATCAGGTTGTTTTTTAGTTTTGTTCTAAGGAAGTAGCTTGCTGTGATCAGGAGTTAATAATGTAACATATATTGCTAGTTTCCTTCATAATATCTCAATAACTCACTATGGTGTGTGTGTGTGCACAAGATGCACTAATTTCTTACATATAGCTATTGTTGACCTGGTCATGAAGAGAAATGGGATATTTGGTGAGCATGGAAATGTTTTACTCTTTCTGATGGCCCGGCATGGCCAGGTGGTTAGGGCGCTCGACTCGCAATCTGCGGGTTGCAGGTTCGAATCCCTATCCCACCAAACATGCTTGCCCTTTCAGCCACGGGGGCATTATAATGTGATGGTCAATCCCACTATTCATTGGTAAAAGAGTAGCCCAAGAGTTGGCAGTGGATGGTGATGACTAGCTGCCTTCACTCTAGTCTTACACTGCTAAATTAGGGATGGCTAGCGCAGATAGCCCCTCGTGTAGCTTTAAGCGAAATCCATAACAAACAAACAATACTCTTTTTGTAAAGTATTCTTATTCTTCTATTAAGATGAGTTTAAATGTAGGATATTACACTAGGCATGCTAATTGTACTTCTTTTAAAGATGTCTTTAAAATAGTTTGTATTTCAACTAGTTAATGTTCTTGTATTTGTAGGTGCTCTTTAACTTAGCGATTCAGTATGCTGCCAATGAAATGAACACAGAAGCTCTAAACACCTATCAGTTGATTGTGAAAAATAGACAGTTTTCCAATGCAGGTAAAAAGTACTTTGTGGTTTTTAATGGTCCAACATTATATGATATATTTGATATTCCATTGTTGTTTTGAGTGAAAAGCCTCACTATCAGAAGTTTACAACAGGTAAAATTGAAATGCTGTTTATGGTTTTCCTCTTGAAAAACCTGTATTGGGCCAACAAAGAACACTATGTTTTAAATTATTATCAGTTTTGTTGTGTATTAATATCAAAAGTGTTTTATTTTTTAACAGTTGTGACTAAATACGTTGAATGTATTTGAACTTCAGATATTGTACGTGATCATGTTTCACATTCAGAGATGACAAATTTAACCCAAAAAATGAATGTAATATTCCCACTAATAGCTGTTTCAAGAACTTCATATATGTTCAATAATTAAATGGGTAGATCTTAAAAAGAAATTCTATCATAAAGAAAAGACAGACTGAGCCCCATCAAGTCGGTTAATCTTAACTATGAAATGTGTGAGACTCACTAATTCTGAAACACAATTTAATCTCAGTTCTACTCAATGAGTAAAGTTACAAAAATGAAACATTAAATTTGTAATCTATGTCAGATGTGTCTCAGTTTTGCAGCATTATTTATTTGTTTCTTTTAGTAACCCTCTTGCTACAGGCATCCTTTTCTGTGCGTGTCATGGGGTTTTACTGTGTTACATTCAAAATTTAATTAAAGTACTTTTTTATCATGGTATACAAATATACTTGGCATAGAAACATAGAAAATAATCCAGACTTTAATATTATACAAGTTTTAAGTTCTTAGTTTAATAAGGCAATATTTAAAAAAAAATCTCAATTTCTCCTAGTATGAGACTTGTGACATTTGCTCTCTAGGTATCCCCTCTTCTCTAATTTCTATACCACCCCTCCAAGAAGTATGTAAATTACTCACGTAATGGAATTTATTTAGGAGGTTTTATAGATTATGCAAATGAAATTTGAGACTTCTCAGGTGAAGAAAAATATTTTTAATATTAAGATGAAAATCACTTTACACCTGGGGCAGTAAACACCTTGATTCCATATATTCACAGAGAAATTTTTAGTGAAAATACTTCATTAAAACTTCCAATTTTTTGTCTACAAATGACTTTTAATGCTTATTGAAAGCTTGCAAAATTGCATGAAGATACACAAAACATATTAGAAGATATAGTATGGAAACTAAAGGTCAGTTTGGGGTCAATTCTTAGGTCGAATTGACTGAGCACATAGCTAGAGAGTTAAATAGTGATAGATCAGGCATGTTCTTTAGTACAGGAATCACAAATAAATGAATTTAGAAACAACACTCTTAAATTGAAAATATATAATTTTTTGTTACTTATAAAGTTATTTCATACATGTCTAAATTATGCATGTGGACATATGTTTTGTGTTCCATGTTGGATAAAAATAGAAAAAATAGCTTAAAAACAAAAAATAACAGATTAGCATGTTTAGATTACCAGTTGGAAAAGACAAAATAAAAATTTTTATTACATGTATATTTTATGGTTACAAAATAATCATCTGCTACCAGTTCCAAAACTTAATCCTCCCAAAATTAGAAGAAATATAATCTAAATATTACCCCTTTTTTTCTTGTTAAACAAATATCTATTACTTTAAAACATTTATTGTCTGTTATTATTTTTTAAAGAATGGTGTACTTCCCAAATGGCTGAAACATTTCCATAATTAATGATCTTCTATACAAGCAAGTAGCAACAAAAGTGTGTGGAGATTGGAATTTGATTGATCTAATATTTCTTCTACATGTAACATTTGTTACTTTAGGTTCTTGGGGTAATGATTAAATCTCCAGTCCAAAAAATAACAATTCATCATTGTTTCTTGTTTTGTGTGTTAATATCAGGTTTTATCTTGCATTCAGGGAGAAATACTGTCTGTAACCAAGTAAAATGAAATTTTAGCAAAATAAATTCACTTTAACAGCAGTTTACAAACACTTGTAATGCATAAATTATGAAATCATAATATTTGTAGTCAGATTGAAAAACTACATCTGCTGTTGGGTAGGGTAAGAAAATTTTTTGCTGCTTGAAAAATTGCACATTTTAATTTTGAATAGTTTCACTGAAAATGTTTAGATGAAGTTGGACATTAATACATGTATTTTTCACTCTTTATACTAGTATGTACAGCCATTTTTAATAACAATAATTTTATAAGTTGTTTGATATGTTCTTTATGTTATGTGAAATTTTTAAAGATAACTATCAGATGTTGTTTAATATTTAGGACGGCTAAAGGTAAATATTGGAAATATCTACTTTCAAATGGGAAGTTATCCAAAGGCTATCAAGTTTTATCGAATGGCTTTGGACCAGATTCCTACAACTCACAAAGATCTAAGGTGAGGTTTTGTATTAAACATATAAACTTAAATTGATTGTCTGATTGCAATTTTTATGGAGATGAGATGATACATTGTGAATATATGATTTGAATAATTTTCTGAAACATATTGTTATAAACTATATTTTAATCTTGTAATTTGATTGTTAGCTACCAGGGGCTGGGGATCAAAAGGTGTAATGATATAGGCCTAGAAAGTTTTAAAGATTTGATTTCATGTTTTCTAGTAATTTCAAGGGTAGATTATAAATACAATATTCAGTTTAGCATCAAGAAAATAGTTAAGAAAATAGAGAGTTGTTTCTAGCTGGTAAAATATACTAGTCAGTGTGTTTTCATTTTAAGTGAATTATTTAATCTTTGTTACTAATCATGCATATTGAATCACCTTGTACAAGTAAGTTGATTTTTATGTCAATGTAGTGCAGCTAGCACCATACAAGTTACCAAAGTGTTCAAGCTTGTAAACTAATGTTAAAGAATAAATAAAGTAGATCATTATCATTTATGTAGACTGGACCTTGAGTTATTTTCACCATATAATTTAAAAGTACCCACAAATCAAAGAACAAGGTTACTACAATATGTTAACCAGTATACAAAGTGGGATAATAAAATATTTTACTTTTTAAATACAAATATAATTTTATGATTACCTTGAAAGGAAATTACACTTCTATTAATTTTGTAAGAATTTAAAGCTATTGTTTTCAGTTTTCTTGATTATTGTTTGGAATGATCCAACACAAGAAAATGCATTTTGTGATAATGCTGAGTATATCTTAGTTATGCTTTAGAATACAATTTTATATTGATTAAAATAAGTTAATTACATCTGTGTAAGGTGATAAAAAAATAACACACATTTGTAGGCATGGCCTAGTGATTAATGTGCCAGACTGTGGACTTGAGGATCCATGGTTTGCATCCTGTTACTGAAAAATTGTACTCCACACTTTGGAGCTTTGAGATAATCATAAGAATGAAGACCAAATCCTGCTGTTCAATTAAAGTAGCACAAGAGTTTCAATTAAGGAAGACTAGTGCAAATAGCTCTTGTATGGCTTGCACAAATATCTAAAACAAACCAATACAAATTAACATTTGTTATATTACATTCAGTCACAGTTGTTGTTTTTTAAAAAAGTGCATTGAATGATAGCATTGATTAATCTTTTTTTTAACAAAATTCATAAATCTTCTAAAATTTATAATATACTGTAAATTTTATGTAAATAAATATGTTATCATTTGTTTTCTTTTTCCCATTTTTTTACATTCATTGAAGTATTCCGTCTTTTTAGGATAAAGATAATGAAAAACATAGGATTGGCATTTGTTAAGCTGGGTCAGTTTACTGATGCCATTACATCCTTTGAGTACATCATGGCTGAAAAACCTGATTTTCGAACTGCATTGCATCTCATTCTCTGTCACTATTCTCTTGGAGATCGGGAGAAAATGAAACGAAGTTTTCAGAAACTGCTGGAGATTCCTCTGGAATATGTGGATGATGATGATAAATACACAGCAACTTTGGTAGTGTGATAATAAGTTTATTTTTTATAAAAATGTGTATTATTTAAACAACCTAAATATTTACCATTGTCCTAATGTGAAAATTTAACTATTATTGTTTTACATAAAAACACAAGTCCTCCTAAACTACATCTATCGAATATGTAAAAGTAAAAATTGCTAGGAAATATTGATTTTTGTGGTTGGTGATGTATGTAAGTTAAATCTTACTTTACAAGGATACAATTTTGACCCTTTGTTTTTAGTAAGGGCTCGGTCCCTGGGATCGACCTCATAACCATTTTGTGCTTGTTATAGTTGTCATGATATAATGTGTAAATTCATTAGTTTATGTTAATGAAATTTGGCAGATTATCAGTAAACATTAAAATGTTTTATTATGCAAAATATCACTTTTATTTAAAAAGTCTTAAGGTTTGTTAAGCAATATTTTTCTCTTGTCTTGTTTTTCCTTTTGCATGTTGCCTATCCAACGTCCAAAGTAATTTTCATTTTAAGATTAAAAATATTTTTATGCATCAGAAAATTTTGAAATTTCACATGCAAAATCTTTATAATGTCCAGATGGTTATCAAAATGTTTCTTAAGAAAAAAAAATGCATATTTTATCTGTTATTTTCAGTAAGAAATCTCTGTAAGGTTCGGTAAATTTGACCGATCTTGTAACCACCATAAAAAATTAGGAAATAAATATAAATTATGCCTCTTTGTTCTAGAATGACAACAAATTATAACACAAAAACATAAAAGTTTAGATTAAATGGCTTAAATATCATAACATTATACGTTTATATATATTTGTTATATTTACCTTTCAGCCGTGTCTGGCTAACAATACAGAAGTTACAATGAATCGGCACACATGCTCTCATCTTACCATATCCAGTAATATAAAACTGACTTTTAGTCTTTACAAAATGACCTGTCTTGGCTGTGTTTTAGTAGACTAGTATTTTGTAAAATACAGTTACATTTCAATTATTATTCGTTATATATATGTATATAGATTATTACTATTTACAAATAACTTCTTAAACTTATTTTTCTTAAAACATATAACAGTAAATAAAGAAGTAAAGCAAACAATTATCTGTTCTAGTTATGACCTTTGTACTCTGTTGCTGCTTGACGTAAAGTACTAAGCCTTTTAAAATTTCGCACATAGAGGATATGAAACAAAATAATTTTTTTAGGTCTTATATATGCATTTGAAATAACCAGAAAATCATAAATTATTATATCAATACCATAGAATTCCACTATAATTTATCAAACTTAGTAACTAAGCTGTATTTCAGTCTAAAAAATATGAAATTTTGAGCAGACTAAAGACACAACCTACTTCCTTGAAATCTTTGTTTGAAATAACGAGATGGTTTCCTAACACCTTAAAATGGCTGAGAATGCCACTAAGAGGACATTCTGAGCTTTTGATTGGTTATTCACTTGTCATATATTGAAGTAAGTGTATATAAGGGACCGTTTCCAAATATGGAAAGAGGTGAACAAGGCCGCAATGTTTGATTTAGTACATGAGCAATATCTCAGCAAATAGAAAAAATATGAGGTTCTTATTTTATATTCTAGTTCGTCAATATTCGTAATTTGAGTTCCTAATTTGTATAAAACTATAGACTTTGTATTTTGACATCACAAATATCTAATTTGAACCAGTACTGCATTCAACATACCACCTAACACTCAAAAATCAATGTTTATCTGTGTTTTTTATATATTTGCTTTTAAGTTAAGAAATCGAATAATGTTTAATACTAAAATTTGAATTATAATCTACAATTTGATACCAAACTTATTGACATACATTCATGAAATAGTACTTCAATAAAATTTTGAATGTGAGTCAACAAGTGCGATGACATGGCCTTTGAACCATGATCTGTCTGGAAAGGGTTAAATTCCTCACTAATAACTGTACCTGAAGTTAAAAAACTCTTTTTAACTTTAATATCTTGTTTATTTGTATAAAGTGCAAAAAAATTTTATATTCTTTATTTACTTTTACAATAAAGACTTGTTTGAAAATCGACATCCTCATAAGATCAAGATCATGAAATACTGTATAAAGTGTCTTTTAACTTTTTTTTTACTGGTGATTTTCAGTTCAACTTTTCTGCTAACTAAGTCTTTGCATGCCTTACAGTAGAGACTTTCCAAATGTTTGACCATGGACAGTTGTTACTTATCAGTTTAATGCTGACTTTTAAAATTTTATAACTATAAAACTAATGGTCAATTTGGAGTCACGAACTTCACAATTTCGACCAAGTCCATAGCAAGAGTGTTAAGAAACATTTAAAAGATGCTTATCTTTTAGAGACTTTAATTACTGATTTTTATTTCTCATTACATTCTTTTAAAACTTTCTTATTTGCTACAGTTTTTTTTTTTTATAAAACTGTAAATTTGTTTTGATTAGAAAAACACTGTACACAGTTTCACTGTGTATGCAATCACTAGCATACAATAAAAAATATCTTTTTACCATATCCAAATTATAAGCAGACTGAGTTTTTGTAATCAGAAGATTAAATTTAAAATATTTAATAAGTTTTAAACCCACTTTATATTCATTTATATTTTTTTACATTTATGTTGAAGATTGTGTTTTGTATTCAGACCCACTATGGTCTAATGCAAACAAGGTGTAACACAGCGGCCTTGAAGGCAAAGTAGAACATGATATGGTCAAGTACAACATGATAAAGCATGCTTTTTGCAAGCTTTAAAAAAAGTCAGCTTTGTAATTGGTAATTATAGTAGAAGTTGTTCACAGACACCTTTTCTTCTGACAATATATCACCAAGCTAAGTCTTTGTTTCATTTTCTATGCACATCCCTGCTGAACTAAAAGCCTTTTTGCGTTTTACAGCTGAAAAGAATAGAAAAGAGCTTTCTTGACATGTTCAGGTCAGTAGCCTGTGACTTCTTGAAGCTGGGGTATAGGCAACTAAATCGCACCATGAAAACTAAGGTTGAGAAACAGAGATTAGTTAAAAATTGATAGAACTACTTATTAAAGTTACGATGACAAATTAGTGCAATTTTGTTCAAACTCTTGTGCTTTTCTCCCTAGAGAGCTGTGAGTGCCATGTTATTCTCTTAAAAATATGGAAATTCACCAACAATAATGATTTCTTTGGGAGATTGCTGAAACAAACATAAAAGCAAAATTTGTAATTTTAAAAAATCTGTTTATAAATTAAGTACTGTTTTTCTTATATAAGAAATTTATACTCTGAAGTTCTTGTCTTTGTTTTTTTCATGTGTGGAAAATGACTACAAGCTCATTTTCTACAATTTTTTTAATTTAGTGGTGCAATTTTTCTCTTGAAGTGAACTTCATCAATCAAAGTGTGGGAAAATTAAAATAGTTGAAATGTGCTATTTATCATGCTGTATCTAAAATCAGCTTCATATAGGTGAGATATAGCAACTGTGGCTGCTCTTGTTCTGGGATTGTCCAAAATACTTCATCTGTTCTCCCAGTTAGGTAATTCACATTTAAATTCATGTATATTTATCTAAATAGTAACCAACATGTTTTACATATCATTATTTTATTATTTCAGGATGATCCTCATGCTAACTTAATACTGGAGGCTATTAAGAATGATTCTCTTAGAAAGTATGAAAGGCAAAGGTAATGACAGTCTCTGAAGTCAACATTATTTACAGTTGCTTTTTTTGTTGTTGTTGTTGTTGCATTTATTTATCAATCTTATTTCTGTATTATTTTAATGCTCTAAGATATTGTGATTATATTGATTAAAAACTTAATCGACTATTTTGTGGTTTATTAGGATTCAAGAGGCAGAATGGAGTATTTTGACAGCATCCAAATTAATTTCACCAGTTTTATCCAGTAATTTTGCTGAAGGTTATGAATGGTAAGTTTAAACAAAAAGTGATAACAATTTCATGTGTTGGATGAAAAATGTAGTAAAATACATCCATAAATATGTTTTAAATCAAACAGTGTGAACTATGGAATATCTATTGTACTCTGTTTATAATTACAAAATAAACCTGTGTCAGTCTATTTGTGGTTTATGTATAGGTGTTGCTTACAGTTGTATTTTTGAATATTTGAACTTAGTTTTTTAATAATTTTATTTTGAGACTTCCACAAAAAATTGCTGTTAGGAGGTGTTCAAGGTTAGCATCCTATATCATTACATTATTATTTACAATCAAATCATCATTGTTTTGTGAGCAAATCTTTAAATATATGATATAACTATTTTATTATGTTTTCAAATAAGTCTCTTAGATAGGTTGGAGTTTTTATTATATTTGGATCATTATATAAGGAAACAGGGTAATGAAGCTTAAAGAAGGTTTATGAATTCTCTCCACCTAATAGATGCCAAAGTAAACAACTTTGTGGTTTTACTTAAAGTTACTCTTTAAGCTGAGTGTTCCAACCTTTTTCTTAAGTACGACTGGGTAAGAGGATAGAAACACTGGAGGACCACAATTTACTAGTAAATAACAATGACAGATGTGCTAATTTAACTCACCCATCATTACAAGAAGAGCATCTTGAGAAAGTGTTGTGCGATGAGAGCTGCAGTGATTAGTAATGAGTGCATGATTTATATGAAATCAATCATGTTGCTAGTTTAAAATGGTTTAATTCTAAATATAAACACAATTAAAGATTGATCAACTGCAGCATGATATCTAGAAAATATTATTTAGTTTAAATGAGTGCTGCAAATAGAACACCCCCAAAAAAAGGAAGAAAGCTAGTTTTAAAAATTGTCTTCACAATATTGTGCCTTTTCTATCCAAGTCATTAAAGACTTATTATTTAATTTCTCTAGTGCATATTGGTGTATAGAAGACATTTTAATGCTAGAAATAAATGACATTAAAACACCAAAATTTGTTATTTTTCTTTAATTGAACATTCACTGCTTTGCTCTACAGCTTATTCCGGAGTATTCCACTAAAACACAAACCATTAGGGTTTGTATTTTAGTGGAATACTCCTGAAGAAGCTGTAAAGCAAAATGTTGAGTGTCTAATTAAGTAAAAACAACAATTTGGTGTTATAAGGTCATTTATTTCTAGTATTAAAAGTCATTAAGGATGTTTAGAAAAGCACAAAATGTTGTAAGATTCTTTTATTTTTAGGTGTGTGGACCAAATCAAGTCATCTCCGTACAATGAACTAGCAAATGACTTGGACATCAACAAAGCTGTAACATATTTGAGGAAAAGAGAATTTACTCAGGTATATTATGAAAATCATTAATATATATAAAATTTTAGTCATTGCTTTGAACAATGGAACTTAATTTTCTAGAAAACATGTTAAAAATAAATTACAGGGCTTGTTCTACCCATTAACATTATAGCCATTGTAGCAAAAAATAATTTTTAGAAAGCATTTCAAGCCTTTTCTTTTTGTAGACAAAGTTTTTTTTAATTCTGGCAGTTACAGTCTTCTGTTTAGAATAAATAATCCTAACCTATAGCTTGAAAAAGGAAACAAACTTTCCAGAGATATTTGTAAATGTGTAAAGCTGAAAAGCTAAGTTGAAAGTTAAGAGTTGTGTCCCTTTTTTAAATATCAAATTTGATGTTAAATTTGTGTAGGTATTTGTTTCATGATTATCATTATAGTTGTAACTGGGCACTTTTGGGGTAACTTATGACTTCAGTATCGTGTAACTTAATATCTGTGGTTCACCAATAAAGATGACATGTTACTATAGAGTATTTTAGTACATGATTGTACATAACACGAAACATTACAGTAGTTTATTTTAGTACATGATGTTACTACATATCACGAAACACTGCAGTAATGTATGTTATTACATGATGTTAAGTGTGTATCGTACTAAAATACACTACTGTAGTGTTTCGTGTTATGTACAATCATGTAGATAGTAGTGTATTTTAGTACATGATTCACAGTACATAATGTATGTTTCTACATGATTGTACATAACAAGAAACACTACAGTAGTGTATTTTAGTACGATACACACTATAGTAGTGTATTTTAGTACATGATTCACAGTACATAGTGTATGTTTCTACATGATTGTACATAACATGAAACACTACAGTAGTGTATTTTAGTACGATACACACTATAGTAGTGTATTTTAGTACATGATTCACAGTACATTGTGTATGTTTCTACATGATTGTACATAACAAGAAACACTACAGTAGTGTATTTTAGTACGATACACACTATAGTAGTGTATTTTGGTACATGATTCACAGTACATAGTGTATGTTACTACATGATTGTACATAACATGAAACACTACAGTAGTGTATTTTAGTACGATACACACTATAGTAGTGTATTTTGGTACATGATTCACAGTACATAGTGTATGTTACTACATGATTGTACATAACATGAAACACTACAGTAGTTTATTTTAGTATATGATGTTACTACATGATTGTACATATCATGAAACACTGCAGTAATATACATTAGTACATAATGTTACTACATGATTGTTCATATCATGAAACACTACAGTAGTGTATTTTAGTATGATACACACTATTTTAGTGTATTTTAGTACATGATTCACAATACATAGTGTATGTTACTACATGATTGTACATAACACAAGACACTACAGTAATGTATCTTAGCACATGATTCACACTATAATAGTGTTACTACATTATTGTACATAACACATGAAACACTACAGTAGAGTATTTAAACACATGATTGTACATAGCACACAATACACACTATAGATGTGTATTTTAGCACATGACTATGCCATTACACATAGTACAAACTACAGTAATATATTTTAACATGATACAAACTATAGTTTATAGTAATGTATTTTAGTACATGATTATAAATAACACACTACAGTAGTGTATGTTACTACGTGATTGTACATAACTCATGAAACACTACAGTAGTGTATTTTAGCGCGTGGTTTCACAAGATACAATTTCTTACAATGTCTGTTGCTCAAACTTTGAAACCTTTAAAAGCAAAGATCATTTTTCAGTGCTGTTAATTTTTGCTCATTTGTTGACTCAGTTCATCATGGTACACACTAATTAAAACCAGGAAAATGTTATTAATTATGGTAAACTAAGATTATCATATAGTAAGTTCAAGAAATGTAAACACCCTAAAGACTCAATGTCTGAAGTGTGATTGGCAAGTTGTTATATCTCGCATCTAGCTTCAGATCACATGATCAATAATCATAGTATTATTCATTTTTAAGCAATGCAGTTCATAACTTTTGTAATTTAAATGACAGGATTTTAGGATTCATTGAGTGTAAAAGTACTGATAGTGTAGGTTATAGTATCCTTGGTGTGTTATAAAATTATTGCACTTAGCCAGATTATAAATTACATGCAGAGTTATAATGAGGCAATGTAATAATATCAGTATAGTACTATAATAGAAAGCTATTAATTTTTTCTGTTCATCCAACATATTTGGGAGCATCCCTTGCTTTTGTATAATTGATAACATGTAATTATCTCTGAATCTAAAGTATTGAAAAAAAATTTCAATATTATATTACAGAAGTATTGTCAAAACACAACAAAAACCTTTATT